ATCAATTCGCTCTTGTGTCTGAACTGCTACGTTTCGTATTGTCATAGGTTTTCCTTCATTCCCCACAGCAGCCACCTCATATTGATGGGAGTTTTCTCTGACTGGTTCAAACTCTCACCTTTCATTCTTACCTGCGTCCCTTTCCCTGCCCATTTCAAACAAATTGATGGAGCGGATCAGCAGGTCTAGCAGCATCTGTGAAGGGAAAACAGTGTTAACATTTGGAGTGCAGTGCTCCTATGATGCTGCTTGGCCTGCTGTGTTCATCCAGCTGTGCACCTTGTTGTTTCAAAATCACCTACATTGCTTTTCTCTGAATCTCCCTGCCCTCTGTCCAAGATGATCCCTGACAAACAGGCATCAGAAAGAGAGTATGTGTATGTGTGATGTGCTGCAGTCTTCTCAACATCTGCAAAGCAACAGCTGGGTTTCCACAGCAAGTGGGCTCATGTCCACTTTACATACAGATGTTGACTTTTCCAACAAAAGCAACTTCCAATCCTCTGTGATACATAGCACCAATTTGATGTTTTTTTAAATTTAAGCATAAAATCATGCTACCTTTGCTACATTGACAATAGGTTGATATATTATTTTGTTGGTCGGTTAGTTGCTAACCCATATACTTAATTATATGAATGCTGAAACGTTCTTTTAATTGTAGGCTGTGTGAAATAGGATCCATTTCCATTACAGAACCTTTAATTTTAACAAATGTAAACCATTTCTTTAACTAAGGAAGAAGACTAAATTAATGTAAAAGTTGTTTTTTTGGCATTATCTTTGCATCCTGTTTGACCTTTTAAATTAATTTCTAGGTAAATTATGAGATATAATGGCATGACTTCTTAGTTTGATACTAAATGAATGCATTTACTGAATCAGAGTGGAAGCATCAATTATATAAATGGTGATAAGAATTAAATGTTGCTTACATAATTATGGTGTCAGTGTGTGCTCATCTCGTAGTCAGAAGGTCACATGTTCATAGAACTGGTCCAGAGCTTTGAGCACAGAATCAAAGCTAATGTTCCCAGGACAGAACTGAGAGATTCTTGATCAGTTGGAGAATCAAGGATTGTGGGGAAAATGCAGGAAACTGGACATGAGGAACATGATCCTGTTGAATGGCGGAGCAGGCTGAAGGACCATACTATTTCTTATGGTCTTATGGAAGAGTGCTACACTGTCAGGGGTGCTGTCTTTCTCAAAATGTTAAATCAAGGCCTCCTTTGCTCTCCCAGGTGGACCTGAATGGTCCTGTGGCTGCTATTTCAATGATCAAGGGGAGTTATTTCTGGTGTGTTGACCAATATTTATCTGTACAGCAGTTGAGCCACTGTGAGATCTTGCTGTGCACAAATTGATTTATTTCTCTGCTTTCCAGCAGGGATTATATTTCAAATGTATTTTATTCACAAAAAAAGTATTACAGGACATTCAGAGATGTGAAACATTGTACAGGAGCACAGTTTTGTTAATTTCTTTATTTTATTGCATGTTTTGCTCTCTCACCACATTGGTTGGAAATGTCTTGAAGCACGTCCAGTGGACTAATTTAAGTTGAATGTTGGGAAGCCAAAGTTATTGATGTGTTGCATACAGCAAGGTTAATCAAATATTCCTGAGCTGAACAATCCCCCTCTAGTTGTATTGATTCAGAAAGGAATGCTGGGCTCTGACACCAGGTAACTTCCCTGTGACATAAATCCTGAAACCACAGTAAGGAGCAGAAGAGATTCAGCGCTTCAATCAAAAGACGACAGGCTTGAAATTGTACTGGCTCCCAGGGAGGGTCAATAAAACCACGAAGAACCAGCTTGGCTTTGAAAATATGCACTGAGTTAGATTCTGTTCCAGAATCGTTTCTGCAAAATACCTTAGAATGTTTTATTACATTGAAGGCACTATATAAATGCACAGCCTTTTGGGAATTTTACGAATGGAAAGACTGAAAACAAGCAGACTGCCACCTCAAGGGAGTGCTTGGTCAACTTACATCAGTAAAGGACCTATCAAAGGTCATCCTTCCATGCTGTTCGCAGCCAGACGCTCTGCCATGAGAGGAAGCTCCCACTTTAAGTGGATGGGGCCCAGTAGCAGGACTGGGGATTGGTGGTGGGAGAGGCAGCAGGCAGGGATTGTGGTCCCACCAATTTCCTCCAGGTTGTTGGTGGTGGGGGTGGGGGTTCCTCTCCAAAACGGGACTGCTTAAATGCTTTAAAGTTTGTGTTAACTGCCTCCCCTTGCCAGCCCCCTGCGTTAGGCAGCTGCTGGTACACTCTCCTGGCACTGACGAGCTGCCAGCTGGGGAACGGGTTGTCAGCACAGCAGCACCAATAGCTGGTGCTGTTAAAATTCAGGGTCAAGTACCACCGGCTGCCCCTGTGTCGGATTGGCGCTATGTGTTTCCTTTCCAATCGGTGTAATTCCTGTCCAGCATCTCCTGGCATTGCAGCATTGCTGGAAGGGTCAGCCTGGATTGTGAGAGACATGGGATAATAAGCTAAACACTTTAAATTTTTACCAACTGAGTCCACATCTTGGGCACTTGAAAGCTGTTCTGTAAACTCAGCGAATAATACTTCCAGGAATTTGAATTGAGACTACAGTTGACCAGCTGTCACAGGTGCTTCTGGAATCTGAACATTCCCTCTTTAATATACTTCCTCCTGTTATGCAGCAGGTAAATTATTTACAATTCCTGGAGCTAGGGGTGGTATCTCATCCGACAGGGTGGGGCAGGAATGGACAGGTGGGGAAACCACAGATCAGTTGCAATTCTGATGTAATGTTTGTGCTTTGTGGAAGTAGTTGCATATTTCCGTGGAATAAGTTGTTTTAAATGCATGTGTTGGAGCACTTAAAAGGCTGTGCAGATGCGTCATTGTTGTATGCACAGTCAGTGGTACAATGGCAGAACGTCACACTGGAACGTCTGCACTCTGCCTCAGTGCAGGGACCAGCAAAGTCCTCTCCTTCGATCTCAGCCATGTTCTAATTGCCAAACGGTGGTAGTGTACCCCCCACTCCTGCACCATCAAACACTTTGCAAAGTAGAACAAACTTGAGGGAGAATTACCATGTGGTTCTGCACATCCTAAGCAGCCCACTAGAGGGCAGTGTTAGGGGAGGTTGGAAGTAAGTTCCAAGCCTGCCCTCAGCTGGGGAAAATACAGAATGGTAGGATGGAAGAAATGGTGCAACCTAAACTCTGTTATTGACCCATAACACAACCTGCAATTGCACACATAAATCTGACTTAGAGACACTTACATTGGTTTCCAGTTCCTCAACCTTTAATTTTAAAATTCTCATCATTATTCTTATATTATTCCATGGTCTTAACTGTCCCTGTCTCTGGTATCTCCTCCAGCTCCACAGCCCTCTGAGATTGGCACCCTTCCACTTTCCTTCGCTCACTCCAGAGATGGCCCTGCTCTTAGCTGCCTGACCTCTTACGTTCTGAAATTCACTCCTGTACTTTTCTGTAAGACACTCCTTCATACTCGCCTCTTTGGCCAAGGTTTTCCTCATCTGATTGAGGAATGTGGCTCTGTGTTAGAGTCTGTTTCAGAATCGCTTCTCTGAAATGTCTTTGAGTGTTTTATTGTATTGAAGGTACTGTATAAATGCATGTTGTTGCTGTTAAGCTATTTTAATTGGGCCAATGGATATGTTGAGTGTGACCCAAGTTCAGTGAATTGTGTCTTGCCAATCAAGACTCAGACTATGGCATCATGTTATCTTGAACTTGAAACTCAAGCTCCTGCTTGATACTTAAATTCAGCGCTTTGATTAAACTTTAGCTGTGACCTTGCAATTTCCCATTCCAAAGCTACGCTCTACACAACTGGAGGGCGAGACTGTCTGGAACACATAGCCTGAAAGTCTAGTGGAAGCAGCATTAATAATACCTTTCAATAGTGAGCTTTACGTAAATTACAGCAGGGAAAAATTGTTTTACAGAATTCCAGGGAAAGAGCAGGGGAAATGAGACCAATGGATAGCGCTCTCAAAGTGCAGCATAGGCATGATGACCACCTTCTGCTTCAATGATATTGAAAACTGGCTGTAACAGATTCCAGAACAAAGCTCTGGAATAAATTCACACTGTGCCTCTGCATTTACAACCTAATCCCAAGGCACTTTGAGACATCCTGAGGTTGTGAAAAATGTAACATAAATTTAACAGTTTTGTCGCAGTCCCAGTGCTGACATTGGTGTAAGCACTATTTTGAGTAATTCGTGGTATAAATAGGCATCAGTCTTTGTTTCAAGAGGAAATGCATCATGTTGCGAGTGATCAACAGAATTATTCTTTGTAAATTATTTGAAATGTGTATAATCTCACCTCCTGCAAATCCCTTCCCCCACCATTGTATTTTCACCCCATTCAGTTTGCTTAAAATCAATTAAACGTGTTCTGCAAAGATATTTCTAAATGAAAGCAAAATAAATATGAGGGAGAAAGAATAGAAGCATATGGTGATAAGCAGAGATGAAATAAGGACAGGAGGAGGCTTGTGTGAAGCGTGAACTGTCACATAGACCTGTTGGACCATGTCGTCTGTTTCTGTGATATAAAATATTGTGCGATGGTCAACTTACTATTCCAGCAGAGAATGCATTTATTTTTCAGCTCCAAATAAAATTTCTTTGCAAACTACAGTACCACAGAACCCAGGTCTTACTTTAAGAACAGTGTGTGTATATATAGTTTTTTTAAAAAATGTAGGAGCAGGGCTAGGCCATTTGGGGCTCTCGAGTGTACTTGGCAGTTCAATCCAATAATGGCTGATCTTCACCTTCTCCCACACCTTCCCTTTCTGTCTCTGTAACACTCAAATTTCCTTGTGTATCCAGGAATCCACTGATTTATGACATGATTATACTCTCTGAGCATACAAAATTAACACGTCTTTCTCTGCAATTGTGGAGTGAAATTCCTATTTTTGCAAAGATATATAGTTCTAATTTGGTGTGTTTCTCTTTTGCAGGTCGTAATGAGTTGATAGCCAGGTATATCAAGCTAAGAACAGGGAAGACACGCACTAGGAAGCAGGTAAAATAGATCGTTGGGCTTATGCATGTTGAAGACTATTGGGGTAGGTGTCACTCACGTTGGCTGAGTTGGCTCTGTTGAGCTGCTGTTTGTCATTGGCTTCTTCTGTCTAATTTTATAGTTTGCTGTCATCACTGCAGTTACGTTCACATAAAACAGAATAATTTCCATCATCCATGAGCGTTTTCTCAATTATATCTTGAGTAGCTTCAGAAATTAGGATTTTCTTTGTGAACATTGGAGCAGCTCAATGTTTAAGTATTCTGGTACCTATTTCCCAAGTACAAATTTGCATGTCCCAGTTGTGATCATGTTATCAGGGGACAAACAAAATGCTGAAGTAAAGGATGGATGGAGCATATTAGAGAGAAACTCGAAGTCTAGGGGACTAGGTCTAAACAATTGTGCTGGGTCTTTCAGGAATGAAATTAAGAAATGCTTCTGTGCACAGAGTCATAGAAATGTTGAAATCTCTTCTGCAACCAGTAGTTTTGATGGTGGGTAAATGTTATTTTAAATCTGAGTTGAATAGATTCCTGTTAATCAAATAAATTAAGGGATACAAGGAAGTGTATAAGTGACAGATCAGCAACGAACAGGCTTGAGGGGTGAAATGATGACCTTCTCTTTCTGTGTTTGGACAAAAGACTACATCTCTTCGTGTATGGTTATCATTTTGAAGGTTTGCTTTTGGGTGGAGTCACAAGGATGTAACCTCTGTGAATAAATGCATTCACCTTTTCAAATCAATAATGTCTCCATGCAAGTGATACAAATGCTGATTTTTTTTTTTAAACCTGACCATCTGGAAGTTCTTGAGAATGGCAGAGAATGCAATAAGTCATGCATTGATACATGGCCACATAACGTGGTCAGTTGAAACCACCTCTCTGTGTTTTGCTCTTTTTCTCTATATCACTACACTTCTCCATTTTAAAACAGATGTTTGGAATGTATTGTCAGAATAAGATGATATGCATGCATATGGAGGGAAGTGCTGATTTGCCCAGTCATTATAAAGAGAAAGTTTAAAGGTTCTTTTATTTCAGAGAAGATGCTCTAAGTGAAGGACTGATATTAAAATCAAAGGATGCTTTCAGTTTTAATGCCATTGCATCAGTTCCTGTTACAAACAATTCCACAAGATATATACAGTGGAGTACAAGCATTCAGTGCCTCTAAACCATCCTAGAATGTAATATTTAGTTAGTTATTGAATGATTCAAGGATTATCTTCTATCCAGAAAATTTTTCCATGCTCTGACATGCAGGTTTTAACTTGGAAGTTTAAGTTAACAGCATAGAACTTGTGTCAATCAATTTTTGTTGCAAGAAATGAAAGTCTTGTAGATTGAGTTGAGTTGAGTGTCAGAACAGTCTTGAGGGGTTGAATGGTCACTTCCTAGTTCAAAGTAATCTGATGTTAAAATTGCATTTTGCTGTCAACCTTTTCTTAAGGCTGAGAATGTATGTATGTTTCTGAATAGTTGAATTCCATAGTCTCTGGTCTTCAAAATTGGATCAGCAGAATACCATGTCTAAAGAATTCATTCATAATTTGTGAAATTGTGAATGTGACAGCTGTACTAAATGCAATCAATATTATTCACTTGGTCTGTTTCTCTATTGATCAGCCTCCAGTCTCAATTCTATACTTTATTAGTAAATAAATCCCATTATTTTAATCCCATATGTCTCTTCACCAATGACATTGATTGCTGGTGAATTTGAATAACTCTGCTGTTGGTAGAATATTTCAGTACAGATGCCTAATCTCCCAGTCCTCTGCTGTTTGGTACACTTATATGAACAACAAAGGACAAGTGAAACCTCACCAGTCTATCCAAATTGTGAATATGTCACTCGTGGTACATACATTCCCTGTCCCACTCAAAAATATTCCAAGTACTGTATATTGAGATGAAGACAGTGATAGAATTCAAGAGGGCTTAGACAGGCATGGGTAGATGCAAGGCTGATGAAATAGCATGCATTGAGGAATGAAGTGATGCATCTTCGTAGGAAGAATGAAGAGACACAGTGATAAAACTAGTGCTTGCAGGAGCAGGAGGACCTAGGGTTGTTTTTTAAAAAAAAAAATTATATGTGAGACTTAACAAGAAAGTGGTTAATAAAGCCTTTGGCAACTTAAGCTTTATAATAGAAGCATAGCTTTGAAAAGCAAATAAGTTACGATAAACCTTTGTAAAATGCTGAAACAAAAACAGAATTTGCTGGAAAAGCTCAGCAGGTCTGGCAGCATCTGTGGAGAGAAATCAGAGTGAACATTTCGGGTCCAGTGACCCTTCCTCAGAACTGAACTCAAAACATGAACTCTGATTTCTCTCCACGGATGCTGCCAGACCTGCTGAATTTTTCCAGCAATTTATGTTTTTGTTTCTGATTTCCAGTATCCGCAGGTTTTCATAAAATACTGATTTGACCTCAACTAGAGTATAATATTGCATCCAGTTCTGTGCACCACACTTTTTAGAAGGTTGTGAAAGCGTTGGAGAGGATGCAGAAAATATTTACAAGAATGGTTACTTGGATAATTTAAGAAGTTGGGCAAAAGGAAGTTGGAAAGAGAGTTGATATTTGCTCGGATTCGTGATGGGACTGGACAGAGTGGATAAGGAGAAGGTTTTCCCATTGACAAGGATCAAGCACCAGGGTACACTGATCTAAGGTGGTTGGATAATTATGTGAAGAGAAAAAAAAGTGTTTGCAAGCCAATGGAGGATAAAGGTAATGTAGGATTAGCTGATATGCTCTTGCAGAAACTAGCACAGGCAGGAAGGACTGACTAGTCTCTTCAGTGTCGTAACCAATCCACGATCCTATAATTCATCCCCACACAAACCTAAGTCAGATCACACTCCGGTCTAAACATTTTTGAAGAGTACAGTCCCTACTCTTTAAGCCTAACTTGTTGATCAGGATGCATTAAAGTTGGAATTTGTGTGGTGACATTTCAATGCTTTGCAAAAGGCCCAGCAATCTCATTCAGAATTGCTACCGATATTTTGAGTTTATATTTAAGACTGAGGATTTAAATCCGAGTTGTACCTTTATTAACGTACTCATTACATCAATTAATTGATTGGGAACTGCTTCATTTTGGTTCTTTATAAGCAGCTTAAGACGGTTTTCTGTTCCAGAATTTTGCATGCTTTTTTTTATGGGTCTATTTGAAGCCATATTGAAGCTGATAGTATGCCTTCTATTTTTGTAATTGAAATCTTGTCTGCTGACAGCTGTGGTTTTTTTTTGTTAATATCACTTGCATGGATTTCTGTGTAACTGGCTCTGAAAAACTTGCGTTCCAATCTGATTAATTGATGTCAATAGTGTTGGAGGCAGTAAGGTGAAGTCAGCCTTCCAATTTCACAGTTTTCAAAAAGACTAAGCCGTAGCTGCACATCTTTTTCTTTAAGAAGGTTTCTGCAGTGATGACACTTGGTGCTGCACTGGTGTATAGTTGCCTGCTGGGAATGCAATTACCTCTTAAGTGCTAAGCTCATTAAAAAGGAACGAATAATGTTTTCCAAAAAAAAAGCCAACAACCACAGTCAGAAGACATGTTTCACCTTTAATTTCCCTTTTGTTTTTTTTTCTGTTTTATGGGTTGCACTGTGTAGGTGTCTAGTCACATACAGGTGTTAGCAAGGAAGAAAGTTCGGGAAATTCAAGCTGCCATAAAGGTACGTCTGGCTCGCCTAGTTGCAAGGGGCTTTTGTTTCCATGGTTACAGGCTTTTTTTTTTCTCTTTGTTTTCCTCCCTTCCCCTACCCTTTAGGTGTCTAGTCACATTCAGGTTCTTGCCAGAAGGAAATCTCGTGAGATTCATTCCAAGCTAAAGGTATGCGCTTGTCTGCTTTGGGCTTGCAGTTGCTATGCTTCCGACCTCTTTTTTTTCCTCTTCCACAGAGAGTGCCCTTATCCTATGTTGAAACTTTCTCTGACTGTATCATTCCTTTTGCATGCTCTGTCTGCTTAGCTGTTTCAATTTAACACTGAGCACATGCATGTTTTAAAATTAGATCAGAACAACTAACCTTTCATTTGGTTGCTTGGTTTTGGTGGGTGGTGGAATTGTGGGGTGGAATCTAATATTGAACTGAATCAACCTCCAGCTCCCAAAATTAAAATCTGCTTGAACTGCATGTGTGGAAGCTTGGCTCTTGCATCATGTGTACGAATTTATAATGAGCTTTGGACAATGCAATTATTAGCACTGGGTGTTGCATTTTTTTTTTAAGTAAAATGCACACGCACTCACACACAGTTTGTAAATAAGACTTTTATTCTCACAACATTTGAGATAAAATATACTTTCTAAAATGGGTGTTTCATTGCTAAAATGGCCATAAGGCAGGCTTTGATTCATGCAACACAATTATCAGTAACACAGAAAAGAATACAAGCAATTGGGTGGAAATAATTTGCCTCTGTGTAAATGGACACAGTTGCTTAGAGGCTTAAAAATGGTGACACAGAAGAGAAACAAAAATAGGCAGTTTTCTTTAAAAAAAAAAAATTCTAACAGATATGCTAAATTACAGGATGAAGATAACAAGCTGGCCTAGCTCTGTTGGGCTCGTTAAATACAGGAGGCATCTGGTTTTTTGAATGTAGTGAGAGGAACATGCTGGCAAAGGTGATTGGCAGCTGGTGACTGACTCAGAATCAGTTCTATCTTAACCATGTAGCTTACAGGGAAGCAGTGGGAATCCATCACTTTCTGTACAGATTGCTCCATAAAACAATGCACATGTGCTAGGAGGTGACATAGTTATTCAGATCCTCTCATGCTAAGATCCTAATTCTTTAGAAGAATGATTTCAGTTTTTTTGGAGCACTGGCTTATTTGCCTCTGGCATTACACCATCTAGTGGTGGGGAAAAAGAAGTCCGAGTGCTTTTCTCTCATTTCCCTCCAGCCTCTGCATCGCCAGATACACTTGGCATGCAACAGGGAACAGCCTTTACGCACTCAGTAAGCCAGGCACAGATCCTCAAAAATCTTTTTATGTCCCATCAAATAATGGTCATTTGACCCTCCATAACCTGACTCCATTACATGTATCTCCTCCTCCCCACTCCCCCAAAGCACCGGAACCATGTAGCTCCTCCAAAAGGTATTTCAGTATTCTGCCGAGTCAGTTGGAGTCCAGGTGAAAGATTTGGATTTTTACTTTGATATTTAATGAGATAATTGGTACACAAATAAGCCAACAATTTTTTGTGAAGAGCTTTGGGCTTTCCAAGCCAGCTGCGAGAGGAGGCGTGGGGAGTTAATTATAACTTCTTCCCCACTAGAAAGTGAAGAGAAAGGTGGCCCTTTTGAACTTTGATCATGGGCAGCACTTGTAAACAAACTTGATTGAGGGCATTGACACCACTTTTTAATGAGGCAAGATGAGACAAAGGAGAAATAATAAGGGGTCATCTTCAAGGGATGGGGAAATTATTACATTAAGGCACTCTTGATAGTTTCCTTTTTAGAACTTGTCTGATCTTGTGTAAGCCTGGATGTAAGTTTGCCAGAGCATACCAGAAATATAATTTCTCCTCATATTCACTGCCTGAGAGAGATGTGGATGCTCAGCCATTGAATCTATTCAAAACACATGTTGGTAGATTTTTTTTTTAGGGATGAAGGGAATTGAAGTATACGAGGATAGTGCTGAGCAGCAGAGATGAGCTAGAAGATTAGCCACGTTCTCACTGAATGGCAGAACTGGATTGAGGGGTCAAATGGGCTATTGCAACTCCTATTTCTTCTATTCTTGTGTGCTTGTGCGTTAGGAATGCACAATGAAAGTGTTGGTGTGAGTCAAAGTCCCTCCCAATGCAACCACTGTGTCATTAGAACATTTAGGAGAAAAGCTTAAGCACTTCCTAATTAAAAATAAATACACTTTTCAATTGAAACTATTATATAGATTCACAGGATACCAGGACTGGTGAAGGCTTTATTGAGGGAATTTGTTTTGTAGTAGTTCAGTGTAATCAGATCCTATTTTACGTGGTGATAATGCATATGAAAGCGTTACTTGGCTAGACTTGCATGACTGTGGCAGTTTGCATAGTCTGAGGTTAAAATAGGAGTTCATAGAATTTGACTGTCAGTGCATATGTACTTGATTCTCACCTGATTGACCCCGTCATGATTTATTACATTTTACAAAGATTAGTGCTTAGCTGTAAGTACTGAAGGAATTAATACAAGAGCAGCAATATGAAAAAGCTTTTATAAAGTAAACAGTCCAACTGAGATTTGTACTGGTCCCTCAAAGTGAAATTTTCTGCAAACTTCCCCACACTCTCCATGCAAAAAAAACATTCTGTGTAAAGGTGTTGTGAGCTGGATGAAATCCAGGACAGCCCCAACCCCAATAACGCACCTTAAGTTCTCATGCTTGTGCCTGCACCCTCCCACTGCCAGCAAATTATAACATTTAAGATTTATTTTTGCTGCGTAAGCCAGACTGAAAAGTAAGATTACAATGCTCCTGAATTGTTCAAAAATCAATTGGAAAACAAGAATGTAGCTTGCTTTGGAGGAATGGGGATAGCTGTAAACAAGATGTGAGCCTCTGGTCTCTTTGTGTACTGTGCTCAGATGAAGGTAGCAATGTATTTTGATACTTCACCCAGTTATTAAGCGTTCGAGAGGCAGTGCCAGAAACTTTCCACTAACGTTACTAAAAGAAGAGGGTTTTAATAATTTATACACAAAAAGAAACACAACTCCTTGAATGTAAGGTCAGCAGCGTTTTGCTACACAATGAAAAGGATTAATTAATGCTCATTATGCATTATGTTGGGGTAGCTATGTATGCACGCTCTTTCATGGGTATTGGCTGTTGCTTGGCTGACACAGCTAGCTTTTTTTGTACTAACCGCTTTCTTTCCACTGAAAAGCAAATTAGAAAGCCGATCTAGGGGGAGAAAAAAAGAAACAAATGCAGTACACCACTCTGTTTTGTTTACATTTGCTCTAATAGAAAGTTACTCGTAGCATAAAAGGCAACAACAAGGCACAGGAGTTATTCAGTAATTTTTGAGTCTCTGCAGCAGTTTGTGCAAAGCTTTCAGTATTCTAGCAGGGAAAGGAAGAATGCAAAATTTATCTGATTTAACAAAGTTTTAATGATTCAATTCATTTTTGAAAGCAATTTCAAATATTTCAAGAGCTTTAAAATTTCTGCTGATATTGATCCTAACTGTCCTGGATTTTTACTGTTTCACAAATATTTTTGAATCTGTGTTATACAAAATAAATGGTATTAAAGAATTGGAGTTTAAGGATTTATTTCCACTCCCCTTTGTTTATTTCTGAGACATGTTCCCATTTACGTTGCAGATATTTTAAATTTATGTGAAATTGTTCTTTATCTCATTTAAAAGGTGTCAGGCACTGAAATGTACCCTGAAGAACCTCATGTTAGTAGTTGTTTTAAGTCCCATTATTGGCACAGATTTAAAAAAATGCAAAAAGAATAACAAATCTTCAGAAAGAGCGCAAGGAAAATTTATTGAATGTTAGTTACTGGGGATAAAAGTTTTGGGTTATGTGCAGATGATGGAAATACTGGGATTCTTTTCCTTAGGACAGGGAATGTCAAGGAGAGGTCTAACGAAGGTCTTCAAAATTGTGAAGGATCTTGATAAAGTAAGGAAGGAGAACCCATTTCCAATGACAGAAGTGTTGATAATGAAAGGACACAAACTTGCTATAGTTCATGGAAGAACCAGGTAGGGGAATGAGTTTCAGTTTCACAAAGTGAGGTATAACGATCTGGAATGTGTTTGCTAAAATGGTGGCAGAAGTAGATTTAATAGGAAATTTTAAAAGTTCATTGGAAATATATACAATTTTTAAAAAAGTTCAAGGCTGAGAGAAAAAAAGGGAATGGGACTAAGTGGATAGCTCTTCCAACGAACTGGCACAGGTACAATGGGCTGTATGGCCTCCTGTGTAGGTCTATGATAAGAGTGCAAAAATGAGCTTCAACAAAAACAAAACTCTTTAAAAGAAAAGCAGACTGTTCTAGCAAATTGTCCACTCAGTCAATTCCTCATGTTGGTTGCTGAAGTGATTTTTTTTTGCCCTTTAGCTTCTGTCATTAAATCCACTATTTTGGAATATTACTTTTCCTGGAGCGATGAGTTAGAGGTGGGAAGCAGAGCAGTCGCAGTTTTCCTCTGTGTTTTTTTTGGGTGGTCTGGTGGTGCTGATGATGGTTGAAGGCAGAAGAGGGCAACGATTATTAACTTTAAGTGACGAGAGCAATTTGTAACTACGCAGATCAAACAGTCAGACAGCTGGACAAAGCTTTTAAAACCAACAAGAGCAATTTTGCTGCTATTTCTTCCCATTGGTGCTGTGATTGAATTGGACATTTACAAGCAGGCAGCTGATGCTGATGTTGAACAAATGGTAACATATGGACTATCTGTGTGTCATTCATAAATAAAGGGGCAGTATTTACTGATGTCATTAAATTACCCAAGTATAGGAGAAAATCCAGAGCAGTTTTGCCATTTTGTATCGATTTGCTGTTGAGTTGTTCTTTTTTTTTCAAAAAAAACAAATGTAATTTGGTTTTACTTACTCTACCATCCAAAAATATTTTAACAAACTATCTATTATTGTAAACAGGTAACCAACATGGTAAGTATTTTCAAAAGACTGACACTTATTCATTTTGTTCTTTATCTGAGTGCTTGGATGTCTGGGAGAAATTGTCGTTTGCTTGGCAAATTAGAATTGTGTGCGTGAGAGAAGTTTATACTCTCGGGGAAGGCTTGCTGCTGCCTGCCTGCCATTCTGAAACAGCGATTGCGTGGTCCGCATGCCAGCCTGCTCATTCCTTGCCACCCCTGCATGTCCCCTGCCCCCCACCCTGCCCTGCCTTGCCTTGCCTGCTTCCCATGTCTGAGCTAATTGTTTGACTCTTGTGCTTAAACATGTTCATCTCAAGCCCCAAAATGAGAACGGTCCCAAATTTAGAGGCTGTGTCCATCCGTAGTAAGATTTGAACATTTGTGCGTGCTGGAGACCTGTATTATCGACAGCGTTCCTCTGATTTGATTTAAGACACCCATGTCGTCATTGAAAGCTATTTACTCTGGTTTTTGGAAGGTGGAAATGAAGAGCATCAGTTAAAGGTTGGAGATAGGCTCTTCAGGGGAAATGCCAAAGAATAGTTCTCCACACACAAAAGGCAGCTCTTGGGCAATTTGTTAATTTCAAGACAGATTGATAGATTTTTACAACAACAGCACACTATGGAAATCTGAAATTAAACAGAAAACCCTGGAAATACTCATCAGGTTAGGCAGCATTTGTGAAGAAAGAAGCAGAGTTAACATTTTTGGCTCTGACTGTCCTGAAAGGCCACAGATCAGAAGTGTTAACTTGATTCACACTGCAGATTTTTGATGGCGAAAAGTGTTGTTAAATGTTATGGAACCAAGGGGGCTTATTGGAGTCAAGGTGCAAATTACCTGTTGATCACCCGACCTGAATGGCAGAGCAGGTTTGAGGGGTTGACCACCTGTTCTCGTATGTTAATTTGTTGATGCATAGAGGTCTGCTGTATTTGGATGACATGAACCAGATTATAATGAATGAACTTGTGCTTTTTGGAGTAGCATGTTGGCACTTGAAGGATTTCAAACACCGATTCTAGCTTTTCTGTTCTGACTGAGCAATGCACGAGGAGCAATCAGTATGTGCGTGTTACATAGCTGTGTTGAGAGTGCAACAAATTTTGAACAGAAGATCAAAAATAAATATTTCCATAATCATAAGTACAGTTTTATTTGGTAATGGGTTCTACACTGGGCCTCGATCTTTTAACTGGGACAAAGAGTTGGGTGGAGAGGAATTAACTGGAGTTCTTGCTCTGGTGTGAATGACTTGAAGTGGGTGACAACAGTTGCAACAAAAGTTGCATTTAAATAGCACGTTTAATGTACTAAAACTCCTCAAAGCTTATCAGACAGAATTTGGTACCAAGCTGTAAGAGGATATGACCAAAACTTGGTTAAATAAATAGCTTTTGAAGAGTAACTTAAAGGTTGCGGGGGTGGTGTTTGTCGGGGGAAAGAGAGGAGAGCTTTGGCAGTTGGAGGTAGCGCCAGACCATAGGGCCGAGGGAGTCCAATGCAGTTGGAGCAATTCGATTGTTTTGCATAGGATGCCAGAATTAAAGAAATGCTGAAATCTTGGGAGGGCTGGCTGAGGTGTTAGAGAATGGGAAAGAGAGGGATGAGGCCATGCAAAGATTCGAAACGAGGTTAGGAGTTGTAAATTTGAAGCATTGATGGACCTGTGGCCAATGTAGATCAATGAGCATCAGGATGATGGGTAAAAGAGATTTTGGATGAACTCATGTTTACTGACCAAATTGATGCTTATGCAATCAAACAGCTTGTTAACACTCTAGACTTGCAGATAAGACAATATTCGTTAGACATGATATCGAGTATCCTTTCAACAATTGGTGAATTAGATGTTAAGATGTCATTGCACTGAAGGATGAGAGGAGAATTAAATTTGCTTTTTATTTTAAAATAAAAAGCACACATTACATGTATGACTGGATCTGCATTACATCAGTTCACTGAGCGATTCACAACTAATACTGACAAGCCATGTTTAAAAAGGCATAACTGTGAATTAAAATAGTCAATATATTGCCTCTGCTGTCCACTAGTCAGGTTTTTATCGTTTTTTATAATGTTGTGAAGCAAACCAGTTCATGCTTTCAGTTGTGCTGAAGAACCTTATTTTAGTAATTTAGTTATTTTAGTAATAACTTTAGTAATATCAAAAATATTTGTTTGATTCTTTTTGGTCTTGCATTATGTTTAAAAGATGTATCAGTAAATGTCACAGCACATGAGACCATTGCACCCATCTACTCTGTGCAGGCTATATGAAAGCTATCCAATTACTTCCACTCCCGTGCTCTTCCCATATCGGCAAATGTTTCCTTTTCAAGTTGGGGCATGCAGTTCCTGTTGTAATATGGAAAATTGCATCAGCAAATTTATGCATAGTAAACTGCATTGAGATAAATGGCCAGTTTTAGATCACTGAGAAATAAATATTAGCCAGATAGAACTGCTCTTTAGAGTAACGGCCATGGGATATTTTACTTTCAACTGAGGGGGCAGACACCGAGTATTGATTTATTATCTAACATAGAAGTCCACCAGTCTGACAGTACAACATTCTTCAGGGCGGTGTGGATGGAGGCTGAGTCAATTGTGCGATGACCCTTTGTCATTTCCCTGATGTTTCAGCACTGAGACACATTGCAGAGTCTATTCCACCATTTTGATAAAAGCTGCTAAACTTTCCTGGACAGCTCAACTATTCTCCTGGTATATTTTTATGCTCTCGGGGCAAATCCGTTTTGATTTCGGATTTGCACCTGCATCTACAAGAAAGGAAACCTGACCACCATCCTGTGGCGCTCAAATGCCTTACTTTTGTTGAATTTTCCATCAACATTTGATAGAAACTCAACAGGATAAGTCACGTAACTGTTAACACTACAAAAGCAGGTCAGACGCTAGGACATTTGTTGTGAGTAACTCACTTCATGACTTACCAAAACCTGTCCACCATGTACAAAGCACAAGTTAGGACAGTTGAGCAATAATCCTCATTTGCTTGGACAAGTGCAGCTCCAATACTTGAGCTCAGCACAACCCGGATGTAGAATGTTGCTTGATTGGCATCCCAGGCACCAATTTAAGTATCCACTGCATCCACCCATTTAAATAAGTATGTAAACATTTGTGTTACAATGGAAAGCCACTTGAATACATTAAATAGTTACCATGTACTATCATTTGGGAGCAACTTCTGAAGCATCTGTTCTGTAAAAATAGTTCCAGTTCATTGAATAACAACAAATAGTAGTTAGAACCTCCAATTCTGTACCTGATGTATATCTAATTACAATGGTTGGGTTAAAAAGAATATTTAGCTTGACTGTTTGAAGGGTTTTAATGTGAGAACATAGTGAGAAACTCCAGTTTCAATTGGCAGAAGGCCCAGTGAGCAGAGGAGACAAGATAATTGAGAAAGGATGGGCAGTGAGACATATATTTTCTTACAAAGTGAGATGTTATAATTTGGAATACTCTTGAATTTGAATGAATGTTTGAAGGGAAATTATTTGTGGGGTAATGGGAGAAGAGCCAGGATAGTGGAATTAGTGGATAGCTCTTTCAATGAACCAGTATAATCATTGGGGCTGAGTGGCCTCCTCATGTACTATTTCGTTCTATGAACTCATCTCATCGTGCAAGAACAGAGAAGATGCAAAAGAAGGACTGGCAGAGGGAGCTTAGTTGGGGGAATTTTAGTTGAGTTTGTGGGATTGACTGAATCACCACTCACAACCAGATTTAGTATGTTTCTCCATTTAAAAGACGATTCTATGTATGGATAGGAAATTATTGCTTTCATTTGGGTAACTGAGTGAAGCATGCAGCTCTAGATTCGGGGAGCAGCACATTGCTTTGTGTTGGATGTAAGAGTATGTTGTGTTCTGTTGTATTCAAGGATCAAGCGGTGAAGGATAAAGCCCTTCAGAGCATGGCGGCAATGTCTTCTGCACAGATTGTATCAGCAACAACTATCCAGCATAAGCTGGGCCTACCAGGTATCGCTCGCCCATCCTTTCAAGCAGCACCTGGGGTAAGTGAAGTAGTTTTAAGGCAAGGCAGTATCTCCAGTTGGGTCTGCCTGGTACTATTCTTTATTATTGGGAGCTGCTTAAAGGGCTAAGTAATGAGCATAGGTTGTCTAAACTTGGTTTGTTAAAGGTGCTATTTAAATATAAGTTGTATTCCCGTGGAGTTGAGGGGTAAACTGATTGAAGCATTTAAAATTAGAGATTTCATTGAGTAAGTAAAGAGGAAATATTTTGTCTAGTAAGGAATATAAAAGAAGAGGATGCTATGTTAAAATTGAAATCAGGAAACAATCATTTTCAGAGAAATTTCAGTGGAAATCTTGAGCTCATTTACTCCAAAAAGCTACAGATCATGGAGATCAGTTGATAGATTTGAGACCAAGGTGGAAAGTTTTTTTTATCATTAAAGGTATCAGAATGTAGAGTTCCTTCATAGCATGGAAACAGACCCTTTGGTCCAACTAGTCCACGCCGACCTTAACTCGTCTCACTTGCCTGCATTTGGCCCAAATCCCTCCAAACATTTCCTATTCATGTCTCTATCCGAATGTCTTTTAAATATTGTAACTGTACCTGTATCCACCACTTTCTCTGGCAGTTCATTCCACACATGAATCACTCTCTGTGTAACAAAAAAAGTTGCCCATGTTCTTTTTAAAACTTTCTCCTCTCACCTTAAGAATATGCCATCTAGTTTGAACTGCCCCACCCTAGTAAAAGACTCTCGCTATTCACTTTGTCTATTCCCCTTAGGATTTTATAAACCTCTATAAGGTCACCCCTCAACCTCCTACACTCCAGTGACAAAAGTCTCAGCCTTTCCAGTCTATTTTAAAACTCAAACTCTCCATTCCTGGCAACATCCTGGTAAATTTTTTCTGACCCCCGTCCAATTTAATATCCCCTCGATAGTTGAGGTGGAGATCAGACATTGTCTAATAAAATTACAGTACAGATTCAAGACACTCGATGGCCTCAGTCTCCCTACGTTCCTAAAAGAAATGTTTTCTCCTTGTCTCCTTTTGTCTCTGTGCTTACTCCCCACCTATATGCTTGTGGTCCTCCCTCAGTCTTCACATGAAAGTGCTACTGATGTAGGAAACCAACAGAGAGAAAGTAAAACAATTGAAGGAAAACAGAGAGGGTGAGGGGCCAGAGCAACTCCCCCTGCTCCCCTACCAAAAGTTTCAAAGAGCTGAATAGATTCATTCAGGCAAATACAAACATTGGATTAAATAAGCTCCAGGTGAAGGTGTGCTAGCAAGACCTTAAGTGCGGGAAGGCTGAATAGTCTCCAGTTTCTTCCTCTCGCTCTCATCAGTGGTTGCATCAGTGATGCCCGAACCATTTTAAAAGTGACCAGCCTATGTAAAGGCAAAGTATCTGGCCTGTTGTGTATAAAGGTTCCAACCGCTCTTTCTATGGGCCAGGGCAAGTGCAATGGACCAAATGGCCGCCTCCAGTGCTGCAGGTTTCTATGGCTTTGTAGAAACTACATCCGAAAACTTAGTGATTCCCTGTCAGCATCTGACACTGTTTGTGTTCTGTGATTTATTTCTTTATGTTTTTAGAAGGTCTGTTGTAATATTGTTCTCTTGTTGATTGCTGTATGTTTCTTTAACATGTTTTATGCTTTCTTTAGTTCTGGCACAGTGTGATACCAACAGGACAACCAGGATCCTCACAGGAGTAAGTAAACAGTGCAAGTTGACCAAGATTTATTTGAGCTGTGAGTGAACTTAAAGTATTTCCATTTAAGTCCCACTGTCCTCCTCCATGTCCCCTGTCCAGTTGGATGTCATGTGGTTTATTCAGTCAAGGTTTCTCCAACACTGCCCACCTCAGAAACTTATAAACAAAGTGTCACAATCTTAAACTGTCATCGCCAGAACCTCAACCTTCCCAGATTATTTACTTTATATCCAATATTTACTTTGATCTTTTTTTAAACCAAACTTGAAAACCGATTTCCTGTTTATCTGCCGAGTTTCCAGAAATTTGGGCATTCCTATATCTGTGTTGTGATTGTAGGATAAAGCAGCTCAAAAAAAAGGCCAGTCGGCCCATTGTGCCTGTGCTGGTTCTTTGAAAGCGCAATCCAATTAGTTTTGTTTTCTTCTGCTCTTTTACTGACAGTCCTGCAAGTGTTTCCTTTTCAAATATTCATCCAGTTTCCTTTTGAAAATTGCGTTTGATCAGCTTTTAGTAGTCTGTTAGATATTGCATTCAAGATGATCACGATCGATGTTTAAAATAATGCTGAATGCGCAAATTTGGATGTGTTTTAAAATTGCTGGGTTTGACATGGGACTTTGTGTAGATGTCAGTTTAGTAGGTGGCATTCTCATCACCGAATTGGAAGGTTGTGAATTAGATGCCCACTGTAGAAACTAGAGCATGTAACCCAAGCTGACACTGGTATTGTTGTACTGAGGGAATACTGCTCTGTTGGAAATGCTGTTTTTCTGATGAGCAACGTTAAACGGGCCAAGTCTGCCCCTGCTGGTAGCTGTAAGTAAAACTCATGACACTATTTCAAGTAAAAGCAAGAGAGTGCTTCCTAGTGTCCTGACCAAAAGAACCCACCTCCCGCACCCCCAGCCAACAGATTGTTTTATGATAATTACATTGCTGTTGGTACAAGCTCTGTGTGCAAATTGGTGCATGAAATTCAAACAGAGCAATTCGACAAGTCAGAATAGAAAAGTCATTTTGATTGCAATGTCTGACCATATTGCCATTATTGGGAGCTAGGAGCCACATTAGTTTCAGTCGTGGGACAGATCTTGAATGAATCTATGCACTATATGCTAGCTGTTTGAAATTTAGAGAGCAGAGTTATTTGTTGAGGTTAAGTTTCTTGTGATAATTGACAGACAGTGATGTTGACTTTGTTTTCCCCCAGTGTGAAGCCCTTTGCTCAACAGCCGTACGCAGGCCAACCAGCAGTTACAACACCCATTTCAGGTAAGAAACCCCTTTTTCTTCAAAGCTTCTGCATCTATATCCCTATTCACTTCACGTTCTGCTCTCCCACCCTCTTTGCTCTTCTGTCTTTTGCTGCTTCTCCTCTCTCTATAAACCTCAAGATTTTTAAAGACCTGCTCAAGACCCGAACCATTTGTGATATGCCCTCTGATCATTCTTGCTTCAAAGGTGCAGTGGTTAGCTGATTATCTAAAATAGTTCTTTCTCCTAAATTTTGGTGTTCTTCAAAACTTTGGTTTCCTGGAAAGCGTAGTAGTTGGCTACTGTGTTCTTGAATTGCTTGATGGAGTTTGATGCAGCCAAGTGACCATGTGGAACGACTAAAAGATAATTCTTTCAAAGAGCCAGTGCTGACAGAGCATAACAAATAGCCTTATTTGCTGTATGATTCTATAGTCTTATTTTGTGATTATATGGATCTAAGGACAGGTTTTTGTTGTTTCTTGCATATGCAGGTTACGAATCCACAGCTGCCCCAACTCCCTCAGTCCCAGCATGGCAAGGCCGATCTATCGGAACATCCAAACTTAGACTTGTGGAATTCTCGGCCTTTCTCGAACAGCAGAGGGACCCAGACTCAGTAAGTCACTCACAGACCATTTGAGTCTATCACCTTTCCTTTAATCTGTAGGTTATGATTTTGCAACTTGCACATCCAACACTGCAACATGTCTGTCTTGAATATAGCAACCTGAAGCATCGTGAATTTTTGACTTGTGTAACTTTTTTTTAAAAAAAAATGCAAGGAAAGATTCCCTCAGTTTTTCTACACAAACATGCTAGTTTTAAAGGTAGTGATGTCCTTCATAAGAGCTTAAATGAGCTTCCACCAAATCATGCCATCCATACCTCCCAATAGCTCTCAGTAGCTTGAAATCGCTGTTGAAAGAGCAGGAAGGAGAACCTGGCATTGCTGTGTTAAATGTCAGGGTTATTACATTGCTGACTGATCTCCACCATTATTCTCAAACCTAATTTAATCTTGAAGTTTATTTTTAAAGTACTAAGTCCAAAATGCTGATCAACAGTAGGATGCAATATTACAAAAGGATGCATGTAGATTACTTAATTTGGTAATGGTTGTGGAATCAGTGGCAAGACTTCCATTTATTTCTCATCTTCGGTTTCCTTTGTTGTCTTGGTAGGCCATTTCCAAGGACAGTTAAGAGTCAACTGCATTAATATTGCTCTGCAGTCATATGTCAGGGCCAGACTGAATAAGGATGGTGCCTTCCCTTCCATAAATGGACATTGTTGAGCCAGTAGGGTTTATCTCGCATTTCCACAGCTTATGGTCACTTTCACCAATTTCCTAGATTTTATTTATGCTGAGTTAGATTCAGACTGACACAACAGGCTCATTCTTTGGATTATTTGCCCAAGTCTTTGAAATACGTAGCCATTCTATGACCTTCTAGTTTACAAGCCTACGGTGTTGGAATGACTCATGTAAAAGTGATAACTTTGTAATGTTTTATTTCATAACAGTACAACAAACACCTCTTTGTACATATTGGACAGACCAACCATTCCTACAGCGACCCTTTGCTTGAATCTGTGGATATTCGCCAAATTTACGATAAGTTCCCAGAGAAGAAAGGTGGCCTTAAAGAACTATATGGGAAAGGACCCCATAATGCTTTTTTCCTTGTGAAATTCTGGGTAAGTGTGAGAAGTGCTGAGGGGAATACTATCTTTTAGGTGAGACATTGAACCAAGCCCCTATCTGTCCTTCAAGTGGGCATAAATGTGCTGATACTGCGAGGTGAAGAAGAGTGAGAGTGGGATTGTGTGCGCACAAGTACAGGTGCAGGCCATCTGTGTCACGTCTGTTTCAGCATTGTGACTTCATTGTAAAAGATTCCACTGCAATCAGGAAAATAACGTTGTGGTTTTGAAGTACATACTTTGGGGTGTGTTTAGGATGTGAAAGGCACAATATAAATGCAAATTTGTTCTTCCATTCCTAGTTTACTCCTCAATGCTCAGCCACAGTGTTTTAAATGTTGGAGTATCTTTCCATTAATGTTGGTTCCTTCTGGAATTCTAATCTTATAGGTGAAACGTTTTCCGTTAAGCGTAGCAGTGGGCTGGTCAAGTAAAGTTTTATTAACTACAAGAGTTTGTCTCCGTTGGATTTAGTGTTTTACCCTGACCCTGATATATAAAGTTTCTTCCAGCAAGTTTTAAAAATATGTACCCGCACACTGACATGACAACAGCAAAATATTTCTTCATATAAATATCCTTAATTATCTGATATTGCCAGTCATCTGGCGCTGGTAAAACGTTAACTAAGTTATTTTCCTGCTGCTGGACCTTAGAATTAATTACCTTTGTGCAGATTTGTGAAGCGCTCCACATGTACTTTTAGGTGATCAGATAGCTCAGTTGGCTGGATAGCTGGTTTGTGATGCATACCGATGGAAAAAGCTTGAGTTCAATTCCCATACCAGCTGAAGTTACCACAAAGGACTCTTGTTCTCCATCTGTCCCCTCATCTGAGGAGTGGTGACCCTTAGGTTAACCATCACTGTTACGGAGAAGGGGAGGTTAAATGAAAGAAAATCCCTGATTCACTTTATAAGTAATAGGTAACAATTTATTTATTTAACCCTAACAGTGAACAAATTAACAGAACTACTAATAAACTGAACAATTCCCCCTTTACTACTAACTATTCCCTAACTGAACTAAATTCTACTGGTATGCTATTCCAATAAACACAAGTAATAAGAAAATAAATTAAAATTTAGTCTCTCAATGTCCACATACCTTTCTTCTGCTGATCCAGCTGTCAGGAATGTTTTCTCTGTGAAGTCTTCTGTAAGGACTCTTAGCTAGAAGTGTCATGGTACCTTTTATGTATAGATGATGCTTTCTTAGAGAGCTTAGCAATTTCTTGTGAGAGTTAGATGCTTATTTCTCAAATGGAAGTTTGTTTTCACACCGATTTTCAAAACCCCTCTCCTTGTATACCTTGGATGACATATCAATTTTCTTACAGTCACATTGATCCGAGGTCATCAAAGCCATCAGACTTAAATTCAATTGGCTTTCAATCGTTAAGTGCTTGGTTTAAATTAATTGGCTAATTCCAGCTTGTTGCCAAAACATCAAAACAAGCCTAAAGTTTCCAATCACACAGCCAATTGATACATGTTTCAATTTCAGAACTGACTGTACATCTTCCGTAACATACAGACACATTTTTTTCTCCTGTAAAAATCTCTATGCTTAGAAAAACAATTTACCTCTTAAAGGAGCCATGCACTCTTCTTCCTTTTTTTTTGCAAACAAATTCTGGGTTCCTGCCTTCCAATTCACGATTACTCTACACAACTTCATAACACTACCAGTCATCTCTCTCTAATGAGAGACCCAGCCATATGGTCGAGTAGGACTATGGCAACTTTACCTTTAGTGTGTCAGTACAGTTTCAGCCACAGATACATCATCTCATGGCCTGCCACTTCCATCATTCAAACTGGTCGCTGTTGCCATGGATCGTCAAACTGCCCATCCATGCAGCGCTTTGCCTTCCTGTGGCCAATTGGAAATCAAATGGATCCCTTGCTGTCCAACTCGAAGTGGTTCTTGACTGAGGGTCTCCTTAGAGCATCAAAGGTTAAGACATTTATTAGAGGTGTTCAATGTTGTGAATCTGTTTGTTGGAATAGGCATGGAGAAATGTTTTACAACAGTAGAAGAGTCAGTTAACCAGGGCATAAAGGTTACATCATTAGCAGAAGAAAGTGGTGAGATGAAATTTTGTTCCATGTGGCACATTGTTGTAATCTAAATGTGGTATCTGAAATGGCAGTGGGAACAGATTCAGTGTAACCCTCAGAAAAGAATTTAAATATTCAGGGAAAACTTTACCAGGGCTATGGGGAAAAGTTCAGGACTAATTGAATTGCTCCTTCAAAGAGCTTGCACAGGCAGATGAGCTGAATAGCCTCCTGTGCTTTCTGATTTTGCCATCTCTATAAAATTCTTTGAAAGAACATAGAGGGAAACAAAATCTCCTGCAGTTTTTGTATGCCCACAGCAATCCTGTTTGGCAGGCCCTGACTGTGACTGCAACAAGAATGTTTTACTTTAGGCCTTCCAGGAAGTTACGATTTTTCTAAGCCTTGTTAAGAACTCCTGAGATTTGTTCCTTCCTGGCTGCAAAGAGCTCCATCTCGTGGCCTGTTTAAGAGCTCACAAAATGGCATCTGGTCAACAAAGGCTAGTTCAGATGACACACTAGACTGGGAATTTGAGCCCAATGACCAAGAGAAAACCTCATGACTGTACTAACTGACTTGTTGACTGACTGTCTTTCTGTTTGGTGTTTGCAAGGTTTGTAGCTCAGAATGCTTTTTAAGCATGATTTTGGATTTAAAAAATAAAACAGTGTCAAGTAGACAACCATAAATTTATATCTTAGCACCGAAGGAGGGAATTTGGTCCATTGTGGCTTTGCCAAGTCTTTGAAAGGGCTATCCAATTAGATGCACCACCTCCTCCTCTCTCCCCACAGCCTACGAAATATTTCCTTTTCAAATTCAAGATTCCTCTACTCATGAAAGCGACTATTAAGTCATCTTCCTCCACACACAGTAGAAGTTGCTGAGAGCGATAGAGTAGGATTGTTGGCTTTGCGAAGATAGATTCCCACCAACTAAAGATTTCAACAACAGATTGAACAGGGAACAGGACAGGCCAGCTTCCCAAGAGGTGAAAGATGTAAGTTAGCAGCTTCATAGAGATCTAAGTGTTTGAATATGGTATGTTTGTTCATGCTCTTGGAGGTAGAAATACTATGTCATGTTTTATTGGCTATTGTCCTTAATAAGAGAAATGCATTTTGGTGAAGGTGTACTAGTTATGTAGAAGTTAAATGGAAGACCATAATATCGGAAATATGAGATAAGGGCATTGTTTGGTAGGTTATATTTTGTACACAGCATACTAAGGTTCAGTTGCGTATTATGTTTGGATAAAATAACTCATAGAATCAAGAATTGCTGTTTCTTCATCTATCAAATCTTAATTTATACCATGAGTACTTATGTATTTTTCACAATAATTAAGACCTGACAAAAATGCAATTTAGTGCAATCTATTGTAGCATTGATGCTTTTAAGGGAAACTAAATGCACTTGAGAGAAGGAAATAGATGGATATCTTAATGTAATTAAAGGAAGTAGAATGGGAGGAAACTCACGTGGAGCGTATACTTGTTGGGCTGGTGACTGCTTCTGTGCTGGGCATTCTATTCAGGGTGGAAGGGGAATTTTTAAATGACGATTTTGAAATCAATGCGTTGAAGGATTGTGTTAATTCTGGTATACAAAGGGATGATGGGCAAACAGGATGTGGAGATTTGGATAAGTTAAAGTTTCTTTCGAGACTGCATGGGTGAAGATGGATTGTTCAGCAGTCACAAGGTGTGAGGCACAGGTTGAATTGTTGAACATTTACAATAATTGGTTTTATTATTAAATTTAGTTCATTGCTCTAAGGTTTAACTCACCAGTCCTGTTAACCGGAGTGAATTTCAATTATATTTATACACAAATCATTCTTGTCCTTCAAACTTGGAAACTTTTTTTTTCTACAGCATTATAAAGCCAGCATCTGTTTGTTGAATATATGAGTGGAAAATTATAGTTCTGGTAAAACTTCTTGCACGATCAAAAAGCTATAATTTTGCTGACATTGGAGAATTCCTTTACAAGGCCTGCTGTTCAGCTCATAATTTTTCAGGTTAATATATTTGATATTTACTGACACGGGAAGTTGCTGTTAACCAATGATCTAGTCATGCCATCAAGCTGGAGACCATGTGAGTTGCATTGAACAAATGAACCACTTGGATGCAAAATTTAAATGAAATGCTCTTTACAAAGATGTCCACAACAAATAAAAACGTGTTCTTTTGCAGGGGATTAATCATTCCATTGTTGTAGTTGATTCAGAATAAACCTGTAGACCAACAGCAACTAGGAAAAAGGGGTATTTATACTGAAGACAAGGTTGCTATCATTTCTGATGAGGAGTCACTAGACTCAAAACGTTAACTCTGCTTTCTCCCTACGAAAGCTGCCAGACCTGCTGTGTTTCGCCAGCAATTCCTGTTTTGATTATATTCCAACTACCTTGGCTCCAGGTGCCTTTGTCAACCAAAATGTTCTATCAGATTTTGAGTTATCACCTAATAGTTTTTGAGAGAGTTTTCACATTTCTTGCATGAAGAAATGTTTCCTAAGTTCTCTCTGGAATGGCCTGGCACTGAATTTAACTAACATTCCCTTCTCTTTGTCCCACCAGTGGGAAACTTCCTCCTTAATTCCAAGTTTGTGCAATCTCTTTTTCAACACCTTGTGATCTTATATTCACTCCTATGAAGCATCTTACACTGTCTTGTTATGTACTGTTAGAATTTAATACTGAGCCAGTCAAGGAAATACTAGGGCAAGTTGGTTTATGCTTAGTGAACGAAAGAGGTTTCATGGAACATCTTTTTCTATTGGTATGTCAGACGTGTGTATCTCTAGCTTAGCCACAGATTTATCACTCATCCCTGAATGTGGTGGTGATGAGCTGTGTTTTTAAACTCCTGCAGTCCTTGGTGTGTTAGAAGGGAGTTTCAGGGTTTTGACCCAGTGACACTGAAGAAGTGGGGAGATGGTTCCAAGTCAGCGTGATGTGTAGGTGGGAGAGAAACCTGTGGGTGATGGTGCATCTATCCTTGCTATTCTTGTTCATCCAGGTGATAGAGCTAATAGGTGTGGAAGCTGCTGTTGAAGGAGCATTGGTGAGTTGCTGGCTTGTACCTTGTAGGTGGTACACACTGTTGTCACTGTACACTTGGTGGCAGAGGGAGTGAATGTTGTAGTTGATGGATGGGGTGCCAATAAGGAGGATTCCTTTGACCTGAATGGCGTCAGTCATCATTAGTAGTGTTGTAGCTGCACTCATCCAGACAAGTGGGAAATAATCCATCACAATCTCGACTTGCCCTTGTAGATGGTGAACAGGTATTGGGAAAACAGGAGGTGAGCTTCATGCTACAGAATTCCTAACCTGTGACCTGCTCTGTAGTCATAGGAGGAGATGGGTAGAGGCATTTGTGTGGGCATTTCCAGAACTTGGCATCTGGGCAGCTGAAAGTCACAGCTGCCATTGGTGGGGATGAAGGAAATGGAGATTTGGACGAGCACAGACCTTAGGTTTAAATATCTGATGGGGGACTTGAACTCATGACATTCTTACTGAAAGGAATAAGTACTACCCACTGAAGAATTAATATCCGGAAGACTGTTGTCTTTGGTGGAATGGTATTGACCATCAAAAACAAACATCTTGATTCCTGGAAAGCTAGAGGAAGAATTGGAAAAATAGGAACTTATATTTGTGGGGTGAAAAAAAATTAAATCCAATACTCTGCATAATAACTTTGTTTGGACTGGCTTAGTTTCCAAAAAGGGCTTGGTGTTTGAATTTCATTATTCAGTTTGGCAAAGTACTAGTGTTATTCTCATCCAGGATTTCCAACAGAGAAGACTTTTTGTTTATGCTGCTCCCTTCCTCATGCCATGTATTATCCTGTAACTAGTGTCAACTATGTATTTCTTTAGAATGTTCAGTACTAATAATTTGTCTGTAAAATATCCAATAGATTTGTTGTGAAAACTGAAGCAGGTTAAACAGCATCATTGTTCATTGTTGTGGGCAGTAAGGGTGTATGGTATGTGACAGCCTTCCAAAAGTAATTGTACCAGAGCTGGCAGCAATTAATTGTACCAGAGTTGGCAGCAACTATGGTCAAAGTTTAAGACGCTGGCCAGCAATTATGGTCAAAATTTAAGACACTGGCAATCTAATCTCACGCTCGCTCTCTTGCGCTCTCTCTCTTCCCCTCCCCTCTCCCTCCCCGCCTCGCTCTTCCTCGCCCCCTCTCCCCCTCGCTCTTCCTCCCTCCCCCCCCCCCTCCCCCCCCCCCCTCCCTCCCCTCCCCCTCTCTCCCCTCCCCGTCTCTCCCCTCCCCCTCTCTCCCTTGGGTTACAATTTCAGTTGAGCAGAGTAGCCAAGTGACATGAGAACAAACATATAAAATTGTTACTTTGTACCCTGGGCGTTTACAAGAATATGTTAATATCAGCAAATAAATACTAAAGCAGTGCCTCAAACCAAAGTCTTCCAAAGATATTGTACATCCTGTGTTTATCTTGTACAAGCTGTCAAACATAGAAGCATCACGAATTGTTACAGGTGCAGATTAGCTTCAAAAGCGGCAAATCTGCAGTTATTAAACACTTTCACTAAATCATGTTAGAGATTTGAGCTTGTGATCTAGGCTTTTGAATGTAATAGTGAGGGAATCAGAGGTCAACCAAGATCCCTCTCTGATAGTTGAATGTAAAAAGGTCCCACCGAACTATTTGGGGGGAAAAAAGCAATTCTCCCCTGATGTTCTTCAACCTGGATTGCCAAATTGGGTGAACCAGTGATCCATCTGAATTGCTGTTTGTTGGATCTTGTCATGTACTGAGGCTAATGTGAAAGCCAAAGTAACCGTGACTGAACTTCAGAAACAGTTCATTGACTGTTGAGCACTTTGCCAACATCCCAATTCTGAGCTGTTTTGTTTGTATTACAGAATCATTACATCCCTACGGTGTGGAAGCAGCCTGTTTGGTCCACACTGGCCCTCGAAAGAGTACCCTATCCAGGCCCAGCCCCCTACCCTGTCCTTGTAACCCTGCTTTTCCCAAGGCCATCCCACCTAGCCTGCACATCTTTGGACTGTGGGAGGAAACCGGAGCACCCAGAGGAAACCCACGCAGACGCGAGAAGAATGTGCAAACTCCACACAGACAGTTGCCCGAGGCTGGAATTGAACCCAGGTCCCTGACGCTGTGAGGCAGCTGTGCTAACCACTGCGCCACTGTGCCGCCCCAAGATTGTTGAAGTCTTAGCTGTGGCTCAGTGGGTAGTACTCCTACCTCTGAGCTACAATGACATGGATTGGAAATCCATCCAAGAGATTTGAGCACAAAATCATGTGAAACTCCTGACCATATTGAGGGAGCACCGCACTGCCAAAAGTGCTGTCTTTTGGAAGAGACATAAACTACCTGCCCACTCAGGTGGACATTAAAGATACTGTGGTACCACATTGACAAAGTGCAGTGCTGATCAGTTGCCTGACTAGTATTTATCCAGCAGCAAGCAATGCTAAAATAAATTGTCTTTTTGTTGTTATGGAGACCTTGCTTTGTACAAATTGACTGATACAATTCCTACATTACCATGATTACTGCACTTATAAAGCACTTCTTTGGCTCTTAAGCACTTTGTAATGTTCTGTCATTGTGAAAGGAATAGTAGAATTGCCTGTCTTTTCAGAAGCATGATATTTGCTTCCTCTCCTGAAACTTTGTGTTGTGATTTAAATCTCTGTTTGTCCAATAGGCTGACTTGAATTGCAATATTCAAGATGATGCAGGAGCATTTTATGGAGTCACTAGTCAGTATGAGAGCTCAGAAAACATGACAATCACTTGCTCAACCAAGGTTTGCTCATTTGGAAAACAAGTAGTTGAAAAAGTAGAGGTGAGTTTGTTCAAGACAAAACCACTTGGATGCGATAAACTTTTATTCTGCTGTTTACAAATTCAAGAATCCTTCCTGTCTATTTAGCTGCTGTTTCAACTTGAAGACTCCATATTATTTATAATAGACTGCTAGAGGCTTTGTTTTTAAATTGACCAATTGATGGAACAGACTAGTTGAAATGAATATTCCTGTGTTCCTAACTCAGTGTACTTAAATGAATTTGTTTGTCTTTGTTTCTGGACTGCTATTATGGGAATTGCCCTGCATTTATAGACCTTTCCTAATTACCTTGAGAAGCAGAAGTAAGTGACAGACGATCATCTACCCAACACCAATCCAACTTACTAGTGACGGAAATGGTGGCCAATGACTGATGTGCTCAGGGGCTACTTGAACCACTTAGTGACCAATCAAAGTCCATGTTGTTGCCTCTGGCATTTCACTGATGATGGGAGGGCTCTCTCTGTCATGTGAGGAGAAGTCCCAGCATGATTTGGCAGCTTCACTCAACGCAGAAGTTTAGGAACGTGGGCTCCTGTTCCCATGTACTTTGGAGTTGCCACGTCCACTTGTCCGTAATAGCTGCTTAGCTGCTGCCACTGGAAGGGTGCTGTCTGTGTCAGGTGAGAACATGGCCAGCGTTATTTTTTTGGTGGGTGGACGCGGGGCGGAATTAAAATACATTCCTCTGATCCACATCCTCACCTTTGTTAAATATATTCCGAAAACATTAAAAGTACAAATGCTAACACCATGTTCAAGGGCTTCATGAGTGGATTACATTCTACATGGTTGGACCCTTGCCTACCTCTCATGACCTGACCATGCCTGAGAAACTTAAATCCAAGCTAGGACCCAAAATCAAATGTTTAACGAGACTAAGATTGAATTTACCATTTAAAATTATTGCTAGTGCAAAGCAAGATTCATTTCACACATGGCTTGCAAATTTTCTGTTGTACTTGATATTTTCCACAGACCTAGCCCTGATGGAGTGTGGTATAGAGTCACTAGACCAATACCAGGCTTCTCCGGTTTTATATTTTGAACAGGGGTTAATTAAGCTAGGTTTGTCATTCCATGGAATGTTGAAAGTTAAAGGCTAATTTGATTGAAACTTTATATAGAATTTTCAAAGAAATTGTTAGGCCAGGAATCAAAATGTTCGGCAAAGATTCATTTATATTAAAATATTTGTGAGAGAAGGTGTAGCGGAAGTGTTTCTGTGTTTAGTCAGAAGTGGAATTAAGAATTGTGAGCATCAGGTAGTCACTGATGAACCCAATAGAGTGAATTCAGGAGAAAGGACTTTAATCAGAAAACCTTGAGAACATGAACGTCACTACCACAGGGAGATACAGAAAGGGGAAATAGAAGATGTGCAAGATATTTTTAATTCTGTGTTGAACAAGAATCCTGTCCTGCTGGTGGGTAAATCAGTAAGACAAAGGGGATATTATCTTAAAATTAGGGCCAGGTTAAGTAGGAGAGAAGATGGAGCTCTTCCATTACACACACACACACACACACACACACACACACACACAGAGCTAACGTTTGTATCGCGTAGATAGTATAACGTTGCGACCCACCATGGCCCTAACATAGTACCACCTTCTCAAGGGATAACTAAAACCGGGGTCCAAACGTAAAAAGAAATTAAGTGTTCCTGTTGACTGATAGAAATTGAGATTTTCAGTGTGAGAACAAGTTATGAGAGCTGACCTTATAGATACCAATGTAATAAATCTAAACTACTATTTCAAACTAACTGGAAAGGACGTGGGTCCAAGCCAGAAGGTGGTAAATTTCGACCAGAAAGCTTCACAGAGCAAATTACACATGGACTTGTCCCTGAAATAAATTAATAATCAATGCAAGCAAGGTGCAGATCTAGAGCTCTGCATGGATAGGTTAAGATGATCTAAATGACCTTCCTTCCCTTCAATTATCTTGTGAATTTCTTTTCTCTAGTTGTCCGCAGTGGTTCGGGCAGTCTTAATGCAGGCATTAGCTATATGTGTAACATTGCAAAACTGATCCTTGAAATTTCTCATGAATTAGATTTGAGCATGTCTGAAAGGAGACTCAACCTTATCAAAAGTTCTTGTGTTAATAATTTCTTTCATCTTTTCTCCTAGACTGAGTATGCAAGGTTTGAGAATGGGCGTTTTGTATACAGAATAAACCGTTCTCCCATGTGTGAATATATGATCAACTTTATTCACAAGCTTAAACACTTACCGGAAAAGTACATGATGAACAGTGTTTTGGAAAACTTCACTATTTTGTTGGTGAGTTGTCTTTTTTGAGCTAATTTAAAACTCCAGAACTCCTGATTAGCGAAGTTACCTTTATTGATATTGTACCCTTGAGGAAACTCTTGTAGCCCCCGGCTTGAGTGAATACTTAAATTGACATTAATTCATTTCGTGGCTAGAATCCACCTCGCAAAACAAACCCTCTTGCAGAAACTTGGGTGCAAAATTTAGGTGGAGGCTTCAGCCCAGAACTGAGGGTGTACCGTGATGAGGCAGCACTGAGGGGAATCACACTCTCACAGAGGCAGGTCTTGCAGCAATGCTGGCTCCTCATCAGCACAGCCCTCCTGAAGAGAGAGAGAAACCATTTCCTTTAGTGGTTGAATTCGAAATGAGGTGGAGCAATGATATTCAATCTTAAAATTGGAGCTGGGCCGATCCAGAGTGGCAATACAGAGCACTTTTTCACATAACAAGTAGTGGAAAGCTGGAACACTCTCAAAATGTCTGTTGGCACCGGGGCAATTGGAATTTTCAAGAGACTTTCAAGAGATTTTCAAAAGACTAGAGATGGGTGATAACCACAGGCTCAGCAAGCAATTCCCCTATCCTATGAATAAATAAAATAAACAGCTGAAGCCAAGGCTGCAAATGGTGGTACAATGAGAATTGAGATTAAGCTAAAACCAGAATTAGAACAGCTTGGATATCTTGAGTGCTGTATGACTAATAGAGGCTACTGGTATAGTGTAGTGTACAGGCCCATGGATAGATTTGAAAGCAAGAATGGAAATCTTAAATGGTTTTGGAAACCTGTCCTAACATTTCCTTGTATGACTAGGGTTAAAATTTGCCTGAAAATCATCTTGGGGTACTTTACTGTATTAATGTCCATATGCAGATTGCTGTTTTGTTTTTTATAATGCAAAAAAGGTGCTATGGTTTTATTGTTTGTTTGCCATAGGTGGTAACAAACAGGGATACACAGGAGACGCTTCTGTGCATGGCGTGTGTTTTTGAGGTCTCAACCAGCGAACATGGAGCACAGCATCACACCTATCGGCTTATGAAGGAGTAGTCCTCGGAAGATTCATTCCCTTCTGGAGAGAAAAGAAACACACAGCTGCAGCTCAATAGACTTAAAACCTCATTACATGTGGCAGTGCCTCAAATCAATTGATACACCAAGAACACATCTGAGTTTTGATGTGGGTAGCCTTTTTAATGTGTGTGAGTGTGAGCGTGTGTGTATATGTACATCAACAGCTGTGAATTATGGTACCTTGTGATAGCTTTTTATATTGAATTCCATGTGCTTCAAAATGTTTTTTTAAAGAAAAATGCCTGTTTGTTGGATACTACATTATGAAAATTGGACTGTCATGTCTGAAAAAATTTCTTTTAGTAATTGTGGGAGTGTCGCCTAGTCAGTACAGGTTTTTCTGTGGCAACAGAAGATACAAAAAAAGAGAACATAATGATTGTAGACACAATGCATTTAACTGTGGGATGACTGTCTGCCTATGTAAAGATAATTTATTTAAAGAGGTTTTTTTCCAAAGATGGTATATTCACAGGTATATATTTATCAAGATGTGAATATGCAGGAGATAGCATCAGGATGAAGTTCGTGGCTTCAAGTCAACAGGTTTTGCAATGTTGGTGAGAGAATGTCAGTCATTTAACAGTCACCAGATCTATTTGCTTTCAGGTTCCTTTTTTTAGTAAAAACAAAAACACACACTCCTTATTTTTTAGATGTTATTTAAATTGGAATACATAACATGCAATACTAACTAAATGGAAAATTCAATCAACACCTATAGTAAAAGTCGCCAAACAATCTTCAAAATGACAGTAGATGCTACGTTTTTAGAACTGAGAGGGCAGACCCGCAACAGAAGTATATCCATTATTGATTGGTTGATTCAATCAGTTTCAACCACTTGATGTGACAATATTCTTCAGTAATATCTTCAGAGAATGCACAATTTTTAAAAACTTTTTATTTGCAGCAAAAACGATGTTATTTTCAGAGCCTTGTTAGAGGTAGCTTCCCAAACATGTGTAAATGCAAAACTGTTCAGGCACTACGAAGTTTCTGAAGATTCAAGCTCTTTGCTTTGCGAATATACATGTAAACGTTAAAATCAGAGTTCTGATATGTAAAGATAAAAAAGTTCACTTTTCACAGGAAAAACCAAGAATTTGTCCACCTGGCCCTTTCCGACCCACAAATAAGTCTTAGCTCAGTCCTGGTGATAGTTTGCAGGGGATTTATATTTGTATACAGATAGGTGGAGTATTCTCTTAGATCCTGGATCAGGATGAAATGGGGGCTTTCTAATACCAAAATAAAACAGTGACCATATGACAATTTTTGATGAGAATACTGTGAAGTAGAAAAAACAGCACAGTGTGTTAGTACATTTCTATAATTCTATTTTGTAATAGTCTTTGGAAATTTACTTTGGAAAAAGAAAGTGTATTTTTTGCGCCTGGGAGAAGTGAATGTTTAGAAAAACCACAGGGAGTTAGTTCAGTGCTCAAAAATATGGTCCCAATTTATGTTTGTAAAGTTGCTCCCTTCAAGAGGCTTGCAAGTGAACCAGTGTGATTTGTGTTCTTGAGTTGATGATTGGTTCGGTGGTGTTTATTTCTGTGGGCTAAAAGAAACTGCCAGCAAGAATTGAGCAGCATTACATTCAGGCATACAAGGGGACTAAAGAGGTTTCTCTGTCCTGAGCACTTGATTCCTTTCGAGATGCGAAATACTCTTGTGGGCTGTCTCAGTTTTTCTTGTGTTTCAACTTTGGTACTTGCATGTGTAACCAGATGTGCATTTTCCACGTTAACTCAGCAGGTAAGGTAATGATCATGTAAACAAACCAGTTTAATGTGTCGGCTTTTGGATTTAAGTTGGAACTTCTGTAATTCGAAATATTTGGCAGTGGCACAGTCACTAATTGTTCATTTTTAGGGACTTGAGAAAATGCCATGGTTTTAAAGCATTTTGTCTTCACACAATTAAACTTGTAAATGAAAAACACTGTTGTGATCACAGTTCATTGTAAGAAATCAGTGAAATCCAAATAAGATGTTATTGAGGCTGAGAGTTCTTTCCTATGCTGGAAGTTTCTAATACGTTATTAGTAACGTTTTTTCCTGATATAATTTTAATTCAGTGCTGCCAAAGCGTAGATTAATCAGTGCCTTAATAGCATACAATGGGAAATACAGACCACCCGTAGGTCTACATGTTTAAATTGGAGAATTTGTGCTTTGAGATTTGTTATGTGCTATGTCTTGTCACTTGGTAGTTTCCAATATACCTGTCTTGTGATTGGTGAATCCAAACACATTTTAAAGGTATTTTGAGAAGTTGTTACTTAAAGTGCATTACATTGTTGCACCAACTATATGCCAGTGACAGATGATCACTTTCAATTCAGTCAAACAAGGACCTTATTTCACAGTTTGGAATACAACCAGCACAAAACAGATTGTAAGTGTAGCGAGCTGTTTTGTCACATGCCTTTACTAACTAATGACCAAATAACGATCTTCATACATTTCCTGCACTCCAGCACGTAAGTGCCTTTGTTTTCTGATATTCCAGCCTAGAAAAGATCTGTGTTCAGTCAAGTGAAAAACAAATTGTGTGCAGACCAGAAACCAAATAAGAAATAAATGTGATCACCTTTAATGCCTTTTACTGAGCTGAGTATTGCAAGCAAATTGAAATGGAATAAATCTGATGTTGACATTTAGAAGTGTGTTCAGAGAAATAAGATGAATTCAAAAAGGTTAAAAAATTGTACAGCGGAAGCAAAAAAAAACAAAATTATTGTAATTTATTTTTTTAGCGTATGTTGTAAAGTTTGAATCTTAGTGGATTTTCACAGTTGTATGAGAAATCCTGAAAAGATTATTGGATAAAACTTTGCAGTACTGTATCAGCATCAAGATTGCATGGATACAGTGCCTGTTGTGGAAGTAGGAGAATCTTTGGATTGTATATTAAATGATCCTGATTAAGTTATCCTTTTAAGAAATATACAGTGCTCACCTCCAACATCATGTAACTACAGATTAAGTATTGTTTTTATTTTACATAAAAATAGGTAGAATATACAGCACAAATACAAACCCTTGGCCACAACCAACCCAACCAGCTTCCTTCATCTCACATCTTTTCATCCAGTTAGCGGATCCTTGTATTCCTTTCTCTTTTGTGTTATTACCCAACATGCCCAATATATCTGTCTGTTCACCCACTTTCTGTTGTAGTAAAGTCCACATTCTGTCACCACTCTCTGGGTGAAGAATTTTCTCCCGAATTCCCTGTTGAATTTATTGGTAATTACCCAGAGCAGATTGGGTAATAAATATATCAGGGTCATTCATAATTTTGAAAACCTTTTATTGAATCTTACTTTAGCATTCTCCACCCTAAGGAGAACAATCCTAGCTTCTCCGTTCTCTCATAATAATCTGAAGTCCCTGAACCCAGTTACCATTATTTTGAATCTTGTCTTCGGACTGACCAATGGACTGTTTAATCCATGAGCAATCAGGTCTAGATTTAGTTAGCAGTAGTTTTGTGTTCTTCCTATGTGCTGTTGATCTTTATCAATATCTATCTGGAGATTCCACCCATCACAGCAATGACTTGGATCTTGATGGATGTGTATTCACTTGGGTTTTAAGGTTGGAAGATGCGTGGCTCTTTGTGTTTGCATAGAGTCTGCAGCACAGAAGCAGGCCATTTAGCCAATCGATTGGTGCTTGTGTTTATGCTTCACAACAGCCTCCTCACACCAATCATCTTCTAAACCTATCATCATGTTCTTCTATTCTTTTCTCTTTCGTCTGTTTATCTAGCTCCTCCTAAATACCCCTGTGCTGTACACCTCAACTAATTCCTGTGATAGCAAGTTCTTCATTCTTATCACTCCTGTAATCTGGACTTTTCACAAGCAGAAACATTATCCCTACATTGACTGTCGTGAACTCCTCAAACATGTTAAAGACCTCCTATAGCATTGCCTCTGAGCTTTCCCTATTCTATAGCATGATGGAAATCATTGTCCATTATTGATTGGATAGGTGTAATTTCCAGAGTACATGAAGTGTACTCAGAAATCCTGGGAATTCTGGTTCAGAGCGTCCTATTTGACAATTTGTCAGATATTGTGAGTGCTTTCTATCTTTGAGCTTAAAGAAAGAACAACTTAAATACACTTATACAGTGTTTTTTATGACCACTGAATGTTCCAAAGGGCTTTACAACCAATAAAGTAATGTTGGAAATGCAGCAGTCAATTTATTTACAACAGGTTCCCCACAAACAGCAATGTGTCCATGGCCAGGTAAGATGTTTTAGAGATGCTGATTGAGTGACATGTATTCGTTAGGATTCTGGGGATAATTCCACTGCTGTTCTTCAGAATCATGCCATGGTATATTTTATGTCCACCTGAGATGGAGGGGTGGGTTTCAGTTTTAACCTTGTTCCTACAAGAAACAAATCAGGAATGTGTTGGAATACTCTCCATTTGCTTGGATGAGTGAAGTTTTGCCAACAACGAAGTAGCTCCAGAACATTCAGGACAAATCAATTATTGTGATTGACACCCTGTTCACCACTTTAACCGTTCATTGCACCACCAGCTTGTGGTGGTAACTGTGTATGGCATCTGCCACTTGCACTGTAGCAACTTATAAAGAATAATTCGACAGCACCTTTGAAAGTCCACAATGCCGATCTCTTAGAAATATAAAGGCATCAGATATGTGGGAACATGTCCAGCTGCAGGTTCCCGTCCGAGTTAATTCATCCTGATTTGGAATTATATTGTCATTCCTTCACTGTCGTGGAGTCAAAATCCTGGAACTTTAGCCCTGACAGCACTATGGATGTCACCTACTCCTCAAGGTGTGTAGCGGATTAAGGCAGCTGCTCAAAGGGAATAATGGATGGGAAACAAATGCTGGCATAGTCACAATTCTCACATCCCGTGAGAAAAAAAAGACTTAGTGACAGGGCAGCACCCCCTTTGCATGTACTGCTAGCAAATAATTTTTGTACTTAAGTTGCTGGATGGGACTTGAACCTGGAACTTTGTGATTTTGTGGTGAGAATGCTCTTGAGTGAATCTTTTGGAGGGGACATGGGAGGACAAAAAGCAGAGAAAACCTCAAAGTCAACCATAAATCACCCCCCTCAACGCCCCCCCCCCCCCCCCCCCCCACCTCTCCCCATTGCTGATGTGGAATAAACCACAGGAAGCAATCAGAAGCTTTTGCAGCCCTTTCCAATGTAGCAGGGAAGCACTATGAGGAGTGTGCATAGATGCAGACCCCTAATGTAGAGAGGTAAACTTCCCAATATGTTTCATATTACATGCTACAGTAGATACTGTGGCTATGACAATGACTTTAGAACAGCTGGGCAATACAATATAAGTGATGACACTACGAGAAAAACAGCTGAAAATTAAGGATCTGTTTGGATGAATTTTGAATTCTTTTAAAGCCTCATTCCTGTTCCTTCTGTCAACTCATGAACCAGAAAAATGTTTTATTTAATCACTAGTTATATGCATTTTGGAGGTCTGCAGTCCTTTTTCTATGTCCGGAATAACATTTGTGTTTCAGATCTATTGTGTGAGGCTTTTCAAATTAAAAGTGAATCTGTTCACAGGAGTGGCACACAGACATGAAGACGCACACACTCAGACATATTTGTGCATGACGACACAAAGACAGATGCTTGCACACGTGCACAACTCAAGTAGTTGAGGTCTCAATGATTGAAAAATACAAAACAAGCCTTATTCGTATACGTAAACTGTTAGTCACTATGCTATTTTGACAAGTAGCATATTGTGAGGGCATGGGGGAGGTGATGAATGATTACTGTAGTTCTTTAAATGCTAATGGAATGTAGAATTGGCTATTTTCATATGGAGCATTACGAAATGGTTTATGTGAGTTTCTCTAACCTTTGTGACCCAGTGCAATCAAATGCATGGTAGATGGTCATTAGAACTATGTATCTTGTTTTGTGGTCAAGTATTCTGCAAATTTATTTATAGGTTTCAGCTCAACTGTTCTTTTTCCAGAGCAGCCCCTGTTACCTCCTTATTGGCAAATGGTTTTATTGCAGCCTGTGTGCAGTTGTGACCTGTGACATGATCAAGTGAAGATTAGCCAGGGAGAAAATAAATGTGCCTGAGTTAAGACAATAAAAGGAGTTCAGTATCCTTTAAACCTAAGTAGCCTTTCACTTTTTTCCTATCAACAAGTTCCTTCTGTAAACAGTTGTTTATTGCCATGTGTGTCTGCTCACATTTATAAAGTAACTCATTGAATTTAACATTTGCTTATTTTTGTGTGTTGTATGTAATGTGTATGAAATGGTATTGTGGCTTTAACTGATGTTTTGAACTATGGTCAGTGGTTACTTTTAATAACACATACAGCTGGTAAATTTGATAAAATTCTTTTTTTGATATATAAATCACCCAAAATGAATTAATACTAAAACTTCACACATCCCTTGAATTCAAAGGCGAAATTCACATCTTCACTGATTGATTTCAGTACAAGGAGCTCTGCTATATTTGATCATCATACTGTGGTTCTTCTGTTTTTTCAAAAAAAAAGTACTTTTCTGCTGAACATGGATAGGTATGTTTGCCCTTTTAATTTATGTCAAGCACTTGCCTCACCCCAAATCTTGCCCTCCTGCAAATATATCCCAATGATCTTTGCAGCTGCTTACAAGGACACTAACTTACCAGCTATCAAAGAAGGAGATTATCTCAAACTTGCAAGCTGTACTGTATGTTTGTATTGCTGTTAATGTGCAGGTACTGGTACCTTTTTTTGGTTATAACCATTTAAAATGTTGGCTTCAATGTAAACTCATTACTATGGATAGTTATATGAAATTTATAGGGTTTGTGTGCAGAGAATTTTTTAAAGGTGCTTTGTATAAAGGATGTATCTTAGCTTTCTTGGTACAGATGTGTGATAACCTAAATATCCATGACAGTTAAGTGCAATTATTTGATCATCACTGAAACACAAGTTGTGTGCCCTTTACAGCAAATGTTTGACACATTTTAATGACACATTTTAATGCCTTCCTAATAAAAGTGGTAGACATTTTGTAGCTTTCTAGAAACTTTGTATTTGTATTCATACAGTATAAATCAACAATAAAAAGGAAAATAACGTATCACTTTTCTTTTTACTGTCCAGAAGTGCTCCAGCTTTTTTACTTTGTCTTGTTTCATTCATGCCTGAATGTGGATTGGGTACATCTATATATCTGTAACAGCAACAACATGCATTTACGTAGCACCTTTCAAAATAACAAAATATCCCAAGACGCTTCACAAGACCATATTAGGCCAACTTAGTAACGACAGTAGGTGAAAAGTAATGTCTGAAATGAGAAGTAAGAAACATTGAAGTTTAGAGAGGGAATTCCAAAGCTTAAGGTGGAGGTGGCTGAAGGTACAGTCACCATTGCTGGAGCACTTAAAATTCAGGGGGTGGAAGAGTCCAGAATTGGAGCAAGACTAAGATCTGAGAGACTTGTCAGGTTGTAGGCTGTTTCACAAAAGCAAATGATTTTGTTACTATCAGTGCTGTTGGTACATGTTTTTGATTTAAACATTTGCTGTAACTTTTCTTTACATTTCAAAAGTACTTCTTTGACTCTCAACCAGTTTCAGCATCCTGTGCAGAAAAGCACAATTTAAATACAAGTCCATTTTTTCCAGAGGTAGCTGCAAAGAGGGTGCTGAGGCCATGAATGGATTTTAAAATGATGAGAATTTAAAAATTGAGGCATTGCTGAATTCAAGGTAGCCAAACACAATGGGAAATGGATGAATGGGATTTTAGGCAAGTTAGGAAATGGCGTGTAGAGTTTTGGCTGAACGTAAGTTTACAAAGGATAGGATGTGGGAAGCTGACCAGCAATGCATTGCTGAATTGTCAAGTCTAAAAGTAGCAAAAGCATGAATAAGGTTTACAGAAAATGAGTTGAGGTGAATTTGAAGGCTGTGACAGCCTTGTGGGAGTGGAATTGTTTGACCTTAGTAGACTGGAGTTTAAGAATGAGTGAAAATATCTAGACCTATTGTTATTACAAATAATGTTAAATTGTTTTAGGTAAATGTTTGAAGCTGCTAATTAGTATTGTTAATGAAAGATATTCATTTATAGGTTGCTGTGTCTCAAAGGACTTCACGTACATTAAGATTGTGAAGCAGCTTGATAGAAACAGAGGTGGTTACTTTTGGTTCTAGAACATGGGCCACACTCAGAATAAAAGGCTAAATGTTTAACTGAGATGAGTAATTTCTTCACTGGGGCTTGTGAATCTTTGAAACTCTTCCCCTGAGGGTTGTGAACACTCTATTGTTGATATTTTTAAGACTTAGAGTTTTGATATCTCAGGAACTTGTGGGATATGGTAAACTGATAGGACAGTAGAGCTCAGGCAGAAGATCATCCATGATTGAATTGAACGGTGAAGAAAGCTTGAGGAACTGAATGATTTACTCTGCCCTAGTTTTCTGATGTTTTTATGTGACTTACGTTGTGGCTACCATTTTACTTGGGCAGAAAAACGAATAGTGATATTTAGCACTAAAAACCTGTCGGTTTTAGAATAATGAAGTTGAGTTACCAAGTCATGCAACGCCACAATACACAGCAAGCCAACTTAGCCCAAGGAGCCTTAAGCAGATGGTGTGCATATCCCTGGATAGCTTGTATGCCTGAACAAGGAGAGCTCTTGTGGTGCAGTGGTTGTGTCCCGATCTGTGGGCCAGGAGACTTGGGTTCAAGACCCACCTACTCCTGAGGTGTATAAAATCATCTTTATCAAGTTGATGTGGAAGTAAATAAATGTATGCCTGTACAAGAAGATCTCTTGTGATGCAATGGCACAGTCCCTGCCTTTGAGCCACGAGACCTGGGTTCAAGTTCCACCTGCTCCAGAGGTCTGCCACAACTTTTCTGGACAGGTTGATTTGAAAATATTGCTATGTCTGAGCAAGTTGATTTAAAAATATCTATAAACAGAAGACAGGTGTAGAGGGAGCAGTACTTAAAGTGATCTAATTGGATCTAGTATTTAGATGTTTAAATAAATGGCACAAACTATTTCCTGTGGTTGGAGGCAAGTTCAGGATAAGGGGCATAACATTAATATTATAACCAAGCCTATGGGAGCTAAAATACTTCCCATAAAATCTATTAAGTCTATTCTTAAGCAGTAGATTTCTAATGTGATTTATAAACAGCATGCAATGTGAAAGAAAAGAAAATATACAATGTGGAAAAGATTCATGGTAAACTCAAGGATTGGTAAAGTTTTAAAAGCCAGTAAAAGATAATTTTTAAAACAGGTGAAAATATGGTACAAAGGACAAACTAACAAGTAAAAAATGAGAGAATGAACTTCAGAAAGTGAGGCCAAAGTGAACTTAGGCCCCTTTGAGGCTGGAGAAATATTATGGAGCCAGGAAATAGTTAAGCAGTTGATTAAATACCTTTCAGCACAATTGCATTTTCAAAAATACAAAATAATGAAGGGGCTGAAGAAGGAGAGGATGTAAAGTCAATAACTGTCCCTAGGGGAAAAAGGGAGAAACTAATGGGAACAACAACCAATATCTCCCCTGAACATGATGGGTTGCATTGTAGGATTTTAAAGGAAATGGCTACCAAGACAGTAGATGTGCTGGTAGTAATCACACAAAAATCCTTAGGTTCTGGGAATGTCCCAGAGGTCTGGTAAACTGCCAATATCAAAACTTTTATTTTAAAAGGGGAGGTGACAGAAACAGGTAACTCTAAGCCAGTTAGCTTAATATCCATTATGAGGAAACTGTTACAGTCTATTATAAAGGTTGTATTAGCACAGGATTTAGAAATACATTATCAAGTAGAGTCAGCATGGTTCATGGAAGGGAAGTTATGCCTGACCAATTTATTAGAATTCTTTGGGGAGGTAGCAAGCAGGATACAGAATGTAAATGTAATTTTGGATTCCCAAAAGACATTCAGTGAGATACTGCACATAAGGCTAGTTAATAAGAGAAGAGCCCCATGGTGTTGCAGGTAGTATATTAGCACGGTTTAAGGATTGGCTAACTCATAGAATACAGAGTTGTGGTAAAGGAGGCGTTTTCAGAAAGGCAACCTGTCACTAGTGAA